TCAGGCCCTTCCATGCGGTATTCATATCAGGCAGAGAGCGTAGTAGCTCTGGAGGCGGGCGACCGGGCCTGAGTGCAGGCCGTGCCTCTTTCTAACCTTGAGCCCTGTGCAAGGTGTAACTGCCCAGAGGCCTCTGGTATGGGATCTGATGACAGCAGAGCAGCTGTCTGCAGAGCTGGCTCGCGGGGCGGCAGTGTGTGCGGGGCCCAAGCTGAGGTTTGGGCGCACAGGCTTGGGGGGAGGCTCAGGTGCCAGTCTCCAGCCGGCTTGGTGGGGTGGGGTGTTCTGGGCTCAGGTCAGAGCTCAGAGTTGTCCGCCCGGGGTAGAGGCCCACATGTGCCCTGTCAGACAGTCCTTGGAGAGCACTGCCCACTCGCCAGGACAGCATTTGTAGCAGCTGGGGCATGTGGCATGGCATGATCCAGGAGAGCAGGTGACGGCACCACGTGGCCAGCACAGCAGCATCAGCCTGAGTGGGCTGACCCGCCCACCTGAGCCTTCAGCGTCTTGGCACTGTGACGTTCACTTGTCGTTCAGGCCTCACCCCCTGGGCGCCTTCCTGTGGCTCTTGGAGGCCTCTCCATTCACCGCACATGAGAGGGTAGGAGGTGGTTTTTAATTGACCGGGGCTGGAACTGGCCCAGGTCACTTCTGCTCACATCCCATCGGCCAGAATTTGGTCACCAGCCACACTCCTTGCAGGACCGGCTGGAAAATGCAGCCTGGCTGGTGCTGGGGAAGGCCTGCGTCCCAGATGCGGTAAGCCGCAGCTGTGTGTGACCTGGTCGCGGCGGGACGTGGCTGTGTTTCCATAAAGGCAAACAGCACCGTCAGTATGGACTTGGGTTTTATTAGCACCCATGGCCCTGGAACTTGAGCGCAGTAATTATTGTTGCCATTCGTTCCCTTTGACTTCCATCCTCAGATACAAAGCCGTTGGCTAGAACTTGGGCAGATTTGGATCTAGATATCTGTGTATATATTGGCTTTATATTTTTATATTATAATATTTTTATAAAACAAAACAGTATATATTTGTTTTTATACTTTATAAATGGCTTTATATACTTATTTATAGATACCTAGTTACATCTGTCCCATGCTATGTGGGTAGCATGGTAAAATTTGCCATTATGCAAACTTGTTCCTACATCTTACTTTTCTTGAGCATTTTCTGGCTTAAGGAGCATAGTCCTGAGTTGTTGATCTGTATTTACTTTGAGGTTTGACCCTGTAAAAATGCCTTGTGGGTACTGTATGTAAGGGTGAACAGTTACTACTGAGCACCGCCTTCTGAGTAAAATGAAACACTTCTCATTGTCCTCAGGGCCTCCTGTGTGGCTGTTAGGAGTGTTGTGCATCTCACAGGTTTATGACTCTTCCATTCGATCGCTAGCCAAAGAGAAACTGGCCCGAGCTGTGCTCCTCTTTGCCTACGAGCGCTCCTCCTAACTTTTCATTCTCCAGGGAACTCCCGTGTTCTCTAAAAATGGGGAGATGGTTGCTGGGTGAGGAAGTCGCTCCCACATTCTTCTCACTTCCCCTCTGATTGTAGTACATCATTGCAGTTCAAGTTAAAATAATTTCTGTCCTACAGTTAAGTCAGAGAGATTCTGTTCAGCTCAGCTTCTCCTGGGTCGTAGTATATATCCGGCATCTAGCCATTAGTTCTTCCTGACGCGTCCAGCCTTTCGCCCACTCTCCGTGCTTTGTGGGCGGCGAGCTGGTCAACATGCCATGGTGTTTTGTTCGAATGTGGGGCTGGGGTTCCCTTGCTGTTAGAAATGGGCGTGCATCCATCCATTCAATGTGGTCGGGCATCTGCCTGTGTGAGCGTGGACATCCCTCGGTGAATAAAACAGACAGGGTCTCAGCCCTCATGGACCGTCACTGAGAGAGGTGGGAGTGGAGCTGAGAGGGGTTTAGTAGGTAGATTGCTAGAACTTGGTGACACCTTATCTGTGAAGGCTTTCTGGTTTGAATTCAGAGTGAGAATGTAGGGGGGGATCTGTGCTGAGGTATCTTTCACCTGATGAGGAAACGTGTCACTGTTGGAATCTGTGCATTCTATTCCTGGTGGAACGCTGTCTGTGAAAATGCTGATGCCAGGCACAGGGAGCCTTTGTTTGCTGGGTGCTGCCCTAAGTACTTGGTGCGAGTTCTTGCATCTTCCCCTGCGAGTTGGTAGGGTCTGTTACCCGTTCTACAGGTGGGAAAACCGAAGCCCTGAGATGTCCAGTCACGTGGTCCAGGCTGTGCTAGTTAGTGAGCAGGAGGGCTTGAAGACAGGCCTATCAGTGTAGCACCGTCCCCTTTGTCACTTCCCGTGTCAGATGGAGCCTTTAGGGTCAAGGGTATCTGGAAGTTAGAATGGAGTTCTGGTTCAGTATTAATCGCTGAAGAAAGAGTTTGTTATAGCTTGTGTATGTGGCTAGATAGCACATGCATAATTAGTAAAAGGAAAGATGGTTTGGGGAAGAGATGAAAAGCACAGTGTTAAAATTCCGAAGGGGGCAAGATACGTGGTCCCAACATATTTCTGGTTTAATACCAAAAAAAGTCTTTAGAAGTCATGAATATTTAAAATAATCTCCCAGGAAATCTGAAAGTGCTTAGACACCCAAGAAGTAACGTACGTAGTTCTGAGGCAGCTGAAATTTTTATTGAAAACTCACCACATCTGTGTCCCTCTGAGTTCGTTCTCTTAATTCAGCACCTACCTCCTCCTAGAAGAGGTTGAAGGGGGTTGAGGAAAGAATCCTTTCCCTGGTCTCAACCTATGGCAGAGTCAGAATCACAATGTGTGAGAAAAAGATATTATGCATAAAACTAAAGATAGAATACTAGCGCTATATTCTATAAATAAACACTGTGTTAACAATATCGTACTTAAGTTACCTGGTGAAATACACATGAACGTACACACTATGTATTTCATTGACTTCAAACAAAAAACAGCGTTTTTAACACATGAGGAAGAACGTGGCAGTGGAAGGCGGAAGGCAGCCTCGGGAAAACTGCCGATGCCGTGAGTAACAGTGTGAGAGCCTGTGCCGCAGAAGGGCTTTTCGAGCGCCTTACTATCCTAGTGACAATACTAACTGGTGAAAAGGATCCATGTCGGAGCACTGTATCAGTCATGTTGCAGATTAACCTGGTAAAATGTATACAGTTATTGGGGCAGGCGGTGTACCATTGTATTCTCACTTATAAGCTTCACCTCTCTCAGTCACTGACCCTTACTGCTTTGAGAGTGTCTTAACTAATGCCTTTATCTAGAGGTGAGACGTGGGGTCCCCCATTGTCAGACGTCAGTAAGTGAGAAATTCCTGGATTTCACCTCAAGTAATAGACAAAGATACGCGAGTTCACGCGTGAGGACTTGCTGCCCCATATGTTTCAGTAGCACCCAACATCTGTGTTTTTATAAAGAAGATGCAATGTTTGTGTTTAAACGTAATTTCTTTAACGTTATAGAGCCATAGGTCTTAGGGATTTGTGGTGTTTATACTGGTGTTCATTTTGCTTCATTCCTAAAATGCCATGCATGGGTAGAGCAGACTTCTAAAGAGAGAAGGAAGCCAATTGTAGTTTGAAAAAAGCCTTTTCAATGTTATAAAATGATGTCATTTAGTGGGAACAGCTACCTATATTAATGAAATGACAGGAAAGGCTTTAGAATTTTAAGTTTATGATAAAGGAGTATGATTTTTTTTTAAAGATTTTTATTGGTGAATTGGGGGGATGGGAACAGTGCTGGGGAATTGGGGGAAGGGGGACAGACAAGTTGCTGTCGTTTTTTGTTCTTCAGTCTAGTTGTGGAGGACGTTGCTTCACTGGCCCAAGTTGGCACCATCATTGCGCTCTTCCCTGGTGAGGCAGATCAGTCACCGGCTTCTGGACGGCCGCTCACTGCGGCTGCTGGCCGCTCACGCTGGCTGCTGGCTACACACGGTAGCCCATGGCAACCCACTGCCACAGGGACTGCAGCCTACGCCGTCGCCGGCGACTCACAGCAACCCAGCTCCAGGTTGAGCCGTTGTTCAGCATCTTAGCTGTAGAGGGCAGTGTCACTGGCCCTCATATGTGGGATCCGAACTGGGGCCCTCTGGCATCCCAAGCGAGTTCTTAACCATCGCGCCACTTGGCCGGCCCAGGAGTATGATTTTTAAAAGTAGAGAAATACTGGCTAAGTTTCAAAGAAGGAGGTGTTATTGAATGAAAATTATTTTGATGATATGTATAATTCTTCATGGAGAAGTGAGAGAAATTCTGAGGCTTTTTTTATATGCCTCACAAGAAAACGTGAGGCTTTCTTAAGCAAATAGAGTGTTTTTTAAAAATCTCTGAATTTTTGAAAGACCAACTGAAAAGTGTAGTAATTTTAGTTTGTATCTATAGAGTCCTACTTGTAATATGCAGTTATTGAAAAATGTGAAGCTGTAAGAGTTCAGAATTGTTTATCCAGTGGAATCCAACTGTGTAACGTTCCTTTTGCGGTGACACAGTTTCTTGGCTAGTTTGCATCCCCGCCCTGTCAGATCGCTGACTCTGTTACCGTGCATGAAGCGGACCTCTTTTTGCTCTGAAGTGAAGCGCTGCATAGCTGCAGCTGATGGTTGTGTTGAAAAGGCAGCAGAGGACAGCGCGTTTGAGATGAGTGTCAGGACGTGGAGAGCAGATACTTAGTCTTTCGGATTAACGGGCAGGAAGGTCAGCAAGTGTGTGCTTTCGTAGCTTAAGAATGTTTGTGTGGCGCTGTCGCAATATGGAAACACCAAATTAATTGTTAGATACTCCATTTTGTTGTTTGACTGTTTCATTATGGCAGCGTCACTTATTTTGTAACATGTAGTTATTTATAGACACAGGACGGGGTGTGGGGGCTATAGGAGATAAGTTACTTGATGTTTGCAGAGGAAAACTTGGAACCCTGTGTTCATTTCGGGAGATTACAGATGATTTCCCTGCCTTTCATCCTGTTTTTCTCTGTCCTTCAGGGCCCTCCTGAATTCCCTCAGCACAACCCTGGACCTGTCCCCAACAACTTCAGCCAGCCCCCACGACTTCCTCTCCAGGACCAGTGGAGAGCCCCACCCCCGCCCCAGGAGCGAGACCCTTTCTTCTTAGGAGGTAAGGGATGGTGCAGAGCCGAAAGACAGAGCTGTACAGGTGAGGTGCCTGAACACATTTGTGTTTTAACCGGGATTTAGCTCCCAGTAGGAGATTGGATTAAGAGTGTCCGATGTTTGTACCATAACACCCCTGTGTTTCCTTTCAAATGCTAAACTTGGACATGATTGGTAACGGAAATGGGAAAATCTCATGTAAAGGGGGAAATCATTTACAGAAAGTGACTGATGAAGCAGCTGAGAAATTAGAGGCCAAGTCTAGACTTCTTTCAAATGTTCGCCCCCTGCCCCCGCTTGTCATTTCAGTCGGTAGGAAGGAGGGCTGCATCACAGGGCTTTGCTGTGAAATGCGTGTTCCGTGTGACCTGAGGGTGACCGTGCTGCCCTCGGTTTCAGGTGAACCAAGGTTCCCGAGTCATCTCTTTCTGGAACAGCGCAGCCCCCCTCCACCGCCACCTCCGCCCACGCTTCTTAGCAGCAGCCACCCTGTGCCCACGCCCAGCCCCTTAGCCTTCACTCAGCCGGGACCAGCGTTTAATCAGCAAGGACAGCAGCCGGTGTTCCCCCGAGAGAGGCCCGTCAGGCCCAACCTCCAGCCTCCGGGGCCAGTGGGCATTCTCCACTTCAGCCAGCCTGGGTCAGCAGCCACGCGGCCCTTCATCCCTCCTCGACAGCCCTTCCTGCCGGGACCCGGACAGCCGTTCCTGCCCGCGCACGCACAGCCCAGCCTGCAGGTACGTGCTCGCGGCCGGCGGGGAGCAGCCTGAGGGTGTGTGGGCACCTGGGCCTCGGCGGGGCCGAGACCAGGTTTCATGCCGTCCATTCTGCTCGTCTCCCAGGGTGTGGAGGTTGAAGGGGAAGGCGCCGATCGTAGAGGAGCTGCTTAGTAAATGACAGTACCGTTCATCTCCTTAACCGTAGGGAAAGTGGGAAAAGGGTGGGCTGTTTTTTGGGAAATGAAAACTCAGTATTTAGATTTTTAAAGGGTTACACTGCTAACACAGGTAGGACGTGTTTTGAAAATAACTTTGCTCAGCTTTGGCGGAGCCGTACGAGGGTTAGCAGTGGACACACAGCTCCGCATGGCGTCCTGCTCCTGTAGCCTGTAGTGGGAAGGTTCTTAGCGGGGAGGAAGCCGGTGCTGCTCGTCCCCTCCCTGTGTGAAAGGGTCGCGTGCCTTCTGCTGATGGCTGGTGTCGCGTGGGCTGCCCTTGACTGTGAGGTCCTCACTCAGTCTGTGCCTTCTTGTACTTGACATTTAGTGTTGAAACGGGTAGCGATGGTACGCTTCGCTCAAGCAACGATTTGGGAGCACATAGGGTTTGCATCTGAGTCAAAAAGGAAATTGATTATCTAGGGTGTTAAAGTAGGATGCAATGGTTTTTTGCTTTTCTTTTTATTAAAAAACACACGGTGACTCCATCTTTATTGCAGAACTAGCTGAGTATAGATAAGGATGTAAAGAGGAAATTAAATAAGCCCATCATCTGAAACAGTCGCCACAGCATTGGGTGCCTGTGTGCTGTCTTCGGTGTACCCTGCCTCATCAGCACGCTGTCTTCCCGGTTAACCCATGGCCGTGGAATTAATTACCTTTCAGCGCACTGTGTAAACTGCTGCCCAGGGCTGCGTTTTGGTTTCAGCACTTGGGTACCAGAAACCGTACGCCAGGGAACAGCCTTGCGGTTGTATTTGCATCCTGAGTAACTTCCTTAGGACAGACCTGGAATTTTGGGAGTACAAGGACTTAGGGCAAATATGATATTACCTTCATCAGCAAATCTGCAATGCAATCATACCACTTAAGGTTGCCTTCTGGGGTTGGGGTTTTTAAGGGAATGGCTGAGTTGGAACATAATAGTACACCCGTTTATAAACTTTCTCTTTCTTTTGGCATGGAAGGGGCCCCTGCACCCCCCACTGCCCCCTCCACACCAGCCCCAGCCGCAGCCCCAGCAGCCCCCGCTGCAACCGCCCCCACAGCACCAGCCGCCGCCGCAGCACCAGCCGCCGCCGCAGCACCAGCCGCCGCCGCAGCACCAGCCACATGCACCTCCGCCACCGCACCAGCACCTCTCCGTGCCGCCGCCGCCTCTGATGCCCATGGCGCAGCCCCAGTTCAGGCCTCACGTGCAGACAGCTCAGCCCCCGCCGAGCAGCAGCCGGGTGCAGTGCCCCCAGCGCCAGGGCCTGCGGCATGTAAGTGTCCGCCGGTCTCCAGCCCCTTCCGGCATGTCTTTCAAGTCGCAGAACTTAAGGGCCCAACTGGGGAGGCGGGCCAGCTCCCAACTCTGATTTAATTAACAAAACATGTAGCACATTTTTCTGCAGTGAGTGCATGTTTAAAAACCGCTTAGGAGATTGGGTTTCTTGACTACAGAAATTATAACTTCCCTTTGTGCCTGAAAGACTGCATTCATATTATTTACTTTAACACCTTTTGTATATCTGGTATTCCTATAGTGATGATATTATTAATTAATGGACACATAACTTCAGAAAATACTTTCAGGTGACACTGTACCTTTTGCCAGTGGCTTATTTTTTTATGTACAGATTATCTCCGTCTCCTTGGGCCCTGAATAAATAAGTGAATTCAGGGAGAATTTATGGAATATCCTCTATTGCCAGACAATCCTCTAGTTCCTGAGAATCAGCAGTGAACAAGAGAGATTTCCTGCCTACTTGGAGCTTGTGTTTAAATGTGGGAGACTAACAGTGCATTTATTTGGGAGGTTATACTCTGTGTGGTTGGTCATGCCTCGAAAGAAACGGAAGCCTGTGTGCCTTGTTCTCCATCCAATAACTAACCCTTTTAGGAACCGCCTATGGTTAGCCTTCTAGGCTGTAAGGTGAGACGGGGTTTTCCTTTTAGCACTGTCCCTGTGACCTGGAGCTGCAAGCATCACTTAGCTACTTTGAATCTCAGATTTTCTTGTACCTGCGTCTTTCTTTCTTAATGTGACACTGAGACTGGAATGACAGAAGAAATAAGGATTTCCAGATCTGGGAAGGGGGTGGCTCGTAGCCCAGGCTTCATTTTGTTAGAGCAGTGGCAGATTGCATGCTCGGCCTGTGCCCTTGCACCCTGATGGGCAAGCAGTCCCCCAGTCACGTCTCTCAACTCCTCCAGGTGTCAGGTCTCTTTAAGAATCCTGAGGATGAACACGCCCGTGTTTACTCTTCAGGTCAGACGAGCAGGTGTCTTTCTCCTTTGGGGAGTACTTTTTTCAGGACACTGACTTGGGGGTGCTTGACTCTTTTCTGGTCCCCCCTTAAATTTAGAGGCCCAGCACAAGTGGCTGTGCCAACTCCTGTGCAGATGAAGTCCTTTGTCGGCTCTCAGTTCTGTTACAAATGTCAGCCCCCCAACTCAGGCACCAACTGCAGTCCCCTGGTGTGACTGCCATACAGTGGAGCCTGTCTGCAGGCAGCTGGGGTCCCTTTACCAATCCCAGTCCTTAACCCTGAGCAGGGGACATTTAGGCGTGAGAAAAGGATCCATCCATGGGAAACGCTTCTGTGTGCCTTTCTGTTCCTCCCCCCAAGTGTCCTGGTGTAATTTGAGTTTTCCTTTCTGTGGTAGAACATGACTTCTCAGAACGTGAGCAAGCGGCCGATGCAGCAGATGCAGCCCACTGCCCCGAGAAACAGCAACCTGCGGGAATTGCCCATAGCGCCGCCGCACGTGCTGGAGCTCAGCAGCCGCTGCCCCTCCACGCCTTCGGCCCACGTGAAGCCCATGGTCAACACGTCGCCCCCCACCAGGCCCGGGCTGGGGCCCCGGAATGCACAGGGCAAGGCGGAGGTGCAGGTCAAGCCGGTCAGCCCTGTGGTCCAGCCCAAAGAAGAAGCAAAAGCAGAAGCAGAGGTGGGCCTCTTGCTAGAGCTGGGTCTGGCCTGCGGTGGGAAGCTTGGGCATCACCTGTGCCTCTCAGTGCCCTCGGACCCGGCCAGGTAGTCACCAGGTCTGCCCTCCCACTGCGTCGCTGCTGGGCCCCTCTCACCTGACAGCGGTTCACACTTCCACTCCCACGGGGTCACAACCTGAGATCGGCTCTGTGTATTTGCAGTTAGGTTGTGTGTAGCAGAGTCTGTATGTACTGGGGCTTGGCAGGCGGTTTCTGAACAGGGCTCAGATAGTAACTATTTTAGGCTTTGTCATCCAAACTATCTTGTAATTACTCAGCTCTGCTGTTTCAGCAGGAAAGCAGTTACAGACTGTTGTTACATCAGCCAGCGTGGCTGTATCAGGAAGACTGGGACAGAATCAAGTGTTGGGCCAGGTTTGACCCATGCGCTGTAGTTAGCTGATCCCTGATAAGTACTGTTACATGTCTGACTTTTTCTTGTTTTACACTGTGTACAACTAGAAGAGAGGGCTGCTGTTACTTTTGGCGTTTACATAAGATGGGGGTGGGGGGTGGTTTTGTGTTGAATTTTTTTATTGTTGATTTTTAAATAGGTATAGATGTTGTAAGAATAACTGCAAGTTGGCATGTTACGTGGCTTCCAATTGAGATTGTATTTGTACCTTGATTTAGTTTTGGCCACTTGATTATTTTTTGCCTAGGGAGCGATTCAGCATTAGTACAGTATTGATCATGAACTTTTTAATTAGCTCCTGTTAAATATTAGTAAAACCTATGGCTGGGACAAATCCCTTGAAGCCGCTGGTCTCCTAGCAAAGAAATGATACGCTTGTCTAATGCTTCCATGCAGTCAAGAGTCAGCCCTGGGCTATTTTCCTAGAGATACGATGCAGAAGGTGGGCAGGGCCTGTCAAACACAGGTTCTCGGGAAACACAGTCATCTAACGGAGCACAGGTGAGAAACAGCCCTTGGAGTGGCCCACCACTGCCAGCACCAGGGCCCTGAGCAGGTGGCTTCACTTCTCACAGGCCTCAGCGTCCTTAGCTTAATGGTGTTTGTGCAGGACATGTTATTGACAGAGTTCATATGGAATGGAACAAACTAGCATCACGTATTAACTTAAAAGAGTGGCATGAAGAGGTTCCTTAGAGAAAAAAAAAAACATAGGCAAGTCATGCTTTCTTAATTATATAAAAACCATTAACACTGGTTTTATCTTTATCTTTCAATCACTTGAATGGGGGGATAGTCAGATTTTTTTCTAATAAATTAAGATAGCAGTTGTAATGTAGTGTTACTAAATCAGAAATGTAAATATAAAGGCAAAATAATTCAGTTAACATTTAATGAGATCTTACTAGAAGAAGAGTGACTTTTGGTTTTAAAAACAGTATATGAAAAAAATGTAGATTTATAGATTGAATTGGGGTAGTTTATAAAAAGAAATCCTTGCTAAAAATTTTACTCTGCTTTATTTTATATAGCTGTCTTGTAACTCGTATATGTAAATTAATTTAGTTCAGAAAAATTAAGTCCACATACACTTGACTTTTCTGACAAAAGCGGCCGTCTGGGTGCACCCCTGGCCACATCCAGCTGCCCCTTCCGTAACGGCTGATCTAAGCAGGGCCCTGTGGCCGTCGTCCATAGAACCAAACAGGTGCTTTTTGGGTGAGGTGGACCTAGCAGGTGCCCACTGTGAGAGCTGAATGTCTTCATTTGATTGCTCTCAATGTCCACTGCACATAGAACGGGACCAAGAGTAAAGGTCTTTCCTTTTTACTACGTCTCCTATCTGTTGTGCTTAGGTAGGTGTCATTCGTTTTCTCAGTCACCTCATCGACAATGGTGCCTGTTTAGGAGCATGTCCACCTGTGCTCTTGCACCTGTCGCAGCTCTTTCCCGACTTGGGGGAAAACGTCCTCGTGAGTGTCTCCCCGGCTGGCTGTTCCTCCCGCACGCCCTGCTGTCCACCTCTCACCCACCTGTGCTCCCGTAGCCGCCTGCACGCAGCTGTCCAGTCCGTCCTGGACTTTGCAGGGAGATTACCGAGTTGTTCAGGATTGCTTCACAGTGACAAGCGAGCCCCGCTGAGGGCCTGACTCTGTCCTGTTGGTCTAGTGTACGAAACTCTGGGGGCGCCGCTGGAGTCTTCAGCTGCATTTTGGTCTTAATTCCTAATTCTTAAGGTTTATTTGTTAATGGCTGACCTCTAGACAGATTAAATCCTATTCTTCTGTGAAAGATCTGTGGATGAGGAGATCTACGATGTTTTTAGAGAAAATTATTACCATTTCTAACAAATGCTTAAGTTATAATTATCTTAACCATCCTCGTTGGATGGTTTTTATGAACGTTACTGGACTTTTTCAAAGATCTTTTTGATAGATTTTCAGAGCTATTGGGGCTGGCATGTTAAAGGCATTCCTCATGGACTGTTAATATTCCAATACTGCTGTTGGTAGCATTTTGATTCTGAGGAGAGTGCATGAGTTCAAGGTCAGAGAGATTGACTTGTGCTGTTCATTATAACCAATTATTCTGTGACAAATGAGTTTGAGATCAGGCTGAAAATTCTGTACGAAAAATCAATAGTTCTAATCAGGCCCTTTCAGGTCATTTACACCCCACCTTTTGTTGGTTTGTCAGAGAAGAGCCAGATAAAACCTGTGTGACAGCACGGCCTCCTACTGTTGCCGCTTCCATTCGAAACATATTTTGATATCTTAAATGAATAGTTTAATTGGTTTCAAACTTGTAAATGAGTGGAAATTTACATTATTTCATTTTAATATTCTAATAGGATATTTTTCCAAATGAGCTTTAGCCTGTGTGATTTTTTTTTTCCCCCTCCCCAGAGGAAGGAGTTATACTTAAAGTCTGTGAGCAGATTTTGAAGAGTGTCTTCAGATTCTGAATTAAAGGGCTTTGGAATTTTGCATTTTCTTAGTTTGTTGACGTTAATTGTGACGGTTGCCTTGCCTGGCGCTCCCGAGTGAACCGCGCTTGTTCTCTTGCAGTTTCCTGATGAAGATGAAGAGACGAGGTTGTATCGCTTGAAGATAGAGGAGCAGAAGCGCCTCCGGGAGGAGATCCTGAAGCAGAAGGAGCTACGCCGGCAGCAGCAGGCGGGCGCCCGGAAGAAGGAGCTGCTGGAGAGGCTGGCGCAGCAGCAGCAGCTCTGCGCGCCCCCGCCGCCCGCGGCCGAGCGCGACGAGCGGCCGTCCTCGCCCTCGCCCACCAACGGCAGCCCCTTGTTACCCTTCCCAGGAGCCCAGGTCAGACAAAACGTGAAAACCAGACTTCTCGTGAAAGGTCAAGATGTCCCTGTCTCCAATATTCAGCCCCAAATCTCAAATTCGGTGCCATCTGGTGCTAACATGCAGTACCCAGGACAGCAGATGAAACCACTGAAACATATGAGACAGGCCAGGACGGTGCCCCCAGGCCCGGTGCAGCACAAAGCCCTGCCCGGGCTGCCTCCGGATGGGGAGGGGCCGCCGCCCCCCTCACAGGCCGCTCGAGCCGCTGCGCTCCAAGGCCGGCCCCCAGACCCCAAGACCGGCGCGAAAAGGACTGTCATGCACCGGGCCAACAGCGGCGGCGGAGACGGGCCGCACGTCAGCGCCAAAGTCCGGGTGATCAAGCTGTCCGGCCGGGTAAGTTGACGAGCTCAGCGGTGCCTCTGGAGGGCGTGCTCCCTGCACTCCAAACGCCCTCATTCTCAGAGCAGGCTTGGAGGACAGGCCACTCAGAATGGCGTCTGCTGCGCGCCTGAGACCCCCCACCCCACCCCCCCCGGGGCTGGGGCGAGAGCACTGGCCCTTCAGCCCTGCTCCCAGCTGTCTCTCTGAGTCCCAGTGAAAGACCAGCGTGACGATCCTCAGTTAGACCGTTCTCAGTTTTAGCTTCTTTTTATAGGTAATTTGTGGCAGAAGCATCAAGCTTGTTTTAAAAATAAAATGTCCTTGACCACAAAGCGAGTAATTTGTTGCGTGTAGCATTAGATTCAGTGAGCACTGGGGTGAGTGGGCTTGGGGACAGTGCATGTGTGTGTGTGCTGTGTGTTCTTTTGAGCAGTTTTGTTCCAAAGACTGTTTCTTCTCTTTTCAAGCTAATTTCCCCCATTTGGGGGAAAAAAAAAAGACTAACAGAGTTCTAGAGTGAAATCACGTATGACCTTCCCACATGCTTTCAAAAGCGGGGCATACGTCATTTCTGCCTTCACTTCTGAACAGGGCCCGTTCAAGGTCATTGCTGGAAAGACAGAGCAAGTGCAGGTTTCCAGGGCAGGCTGGACGAAGCCAGCACTTAGATAAACGTGCTGCCCAGGCTCCCCTGGCAGGGGTTCTCCCGTCAAGAAGCCATCTGTAGAACCCTGCTTCCTTATCCTGTCATGTCTTGACTTACAGAAGGAACTCTCCTCTCTTGCTTTAATTGCAGGGAACTTGGCAGCGAACGCTAGACAGCCTGTGTAATTGTTGTGCTCTATGACAACGCTTCCCATTGTGTGCAGTTTGTATAGTGAGGAAGAAAGGGGAGACACAGGCTTGTACAGCAAACCAGCCAGTGATGGTGACTTTACAAACGACAGAATGCTTACAGTGAGAAAGGGAACACCCTCTAACTCTCAGGCCGCCCGTCCAAGGAAAGCAGGCCGTGGAGGAATGGGTGGAAGGACCAGGTGTGGCACCGCCGCACCCTGGGCTGTGCTGGATTGAGAAAGGTCCTTGTGAGGTGTTCAAGCACTTGAGTTTGAATTGCTTTCATCTCTAGGTTTGTACACTAAAAACGTGAAGTTCTCCACGTGCTATAAGAAAAATTTTGATAGAATAATATGACTTGGGAATTTCATATTCAGCAGGATGCATACTTTTGTTTTATCCAAATCTGTTTTTGTCACCTCCATTCATTGTGATTCAAGATGTTGATAAACAGATGGCCTGTGTTCCATTAAATTATTTTAATATTGTATGAGTTTGTTACCTTTAGGTGAGAACCCGAGGGCTAATCACTTTGCAGAGTATTTGTGGCCTTTTGCTTTTGACCTTGTTTTAAGCACACTTTGTCAGTGTCTCACCTTTCCCCTTGAGTTACGAACAGGAGGCATCCTGGGGCCAAAGTCAGGAATAGACTTTTCTGGTAGCCCCACGCCATGGCGGTGCTGTGTGCTCACGTGGCTGGTGGGAAGTGGAGGCCACGTGCGTGCACTCACGTATGGCGGGCCGGGGGTGTGGTGCAGCTCGGCTGTCACAGACCCGCTTTCAAACTAATCAACACCTTTCCTTTCAAAGAATTTATCTACTTAGATTTTTGCTGTCTCGGGACGGCTAGTTGGCTCAGGTGGTTAGAGCACAGGGCGCAGGCTTATAACACCAAGGTTGCCGGTTCGATCCCCACATGGGCCACTGAGCTGTGCCCTTGACAACTAGATTGAAACAACTACTTGACTTGGAGCTGATGGGTCCTGGAAGAAAACACTGTTCCCCAACAAATTTATTAAAAAAATTTTTTTTGCTGTCTTTTTCTCCAATGGGAAATTTTTTTTTTTTTAAATATCAGGCCATATTCTAATATCTAAGTCATGCTTTCTAATTTTATAATATACAGAAAGACAACTGAGGAATTTTGCATGAAAGTAGCTGTCTGCCAAACTGGAGTAGCTCTTTAGCTCTTTTCAATTCTTTAGTAAGTTAACTAACCAACATGTTCTCGGTCACTGGTAGGATTTATTCCAACAGTTCCTCCGTAACTTGTTTGCCACTTTCGACTTCTCAGAAAATAAATGTCTTGTTTGTAACTCTGAACTAGTACAAAAAGTATTTCCTAATGGCCAGGCTTTTTTGTTTTGTTTACTTAGTTTGGGGGCAGGTAAGAACTATTTTTAAGAGAACATAATTGTGCTTATTTCAGGTGATGCAGAAGCAAATAGTCCTGTGGGTGCTGTGCGTGCTCACACCCCTCCTGGCTTGCTTCCATCCCTGCTGGTCCTTCTCCCCTCCCCTCGGCCATGGCGTTAATACCCAGCCTGTGCCCTGTGGCCTGAGCCCACAGCTGGACTGGCCACTGCAGCGAGGCTGATGGGCCGCTTAGCATTTGGGAGGATTAACTTGGACTTGTGCAGAGTATTATTTATGCCTTTCAAGTTTATAACGAATATAGTTAATTAATACTATGTTAACATAATTAATTTTGATTCATGTTCTTCTTGTATTTTGGCACGAGCCCTGGACTTCTTTACATCCTGTTAGTACAAAAATACACTATATATTGTCCTTATAAGATTTCCTGGAGAGATTCACCCTGGAGAGTCAGCTTCATTTCCGTCGCTTTCTCCTAACTGAGGCTGGCATCTGATGTGCTTAATTAAATTATTCTCCACATCCAGTGGTCTCCTGGTTCCACTAGTCGGTCTCTAGACAGGACAGGAGGCGCGCAGCCCGCAGTGCCGTTGTAGGAAGTGTGCCCTGGTGGTGATCCCAGTTAGAGCGCATGTCCCCAGGAGCGTCAGGAAGCAAGATTGCCTCGCCACTCCTCCGCCGCGCGGATTGGAAATGTCTCCCAGCTCACTCAGGATTCTCTGCAGGTACTTTTACCTGTGAGGTGAGGGCGGATCACCGTCTAGTTCTCTTCTGTCATTTTCCATATTGCATTACTTATTAAGTAATTCACCTTTGGATTTTATTAAATTGGTGTTTTTGAAAGGCGAAGGAGCCTGAGTCTTAAGGCAGGATTTTTGGTCTTCTGTCTCCTCGATTCTATTATCTTTAAAGTGATGTTAATTCACTCCAATCATTGTTTCTCTTTGTCACAGCTAATGCATTTAGACACGGGAAGCATTTCAAAACGAATTGAATACAAGTTGTCTCCTGGTGTTGGTTCTCACACAGCTGCGGAGCCCAGGGTGGTTGTCCGGGTTTGAAGCTGGCAGAGTGCCTCTCCACTTCCTTCCCGGCTCTCTGTGACATCCCGCTGTTGGCCGTTCTGACAGTCTTTTCATGGGGTGTGGAGGCTGGCGCTGCCCCTCACCAGGACCAACAGCATGTTTGTACCCGACAGTGGGCCATGGTAGAAACAATGGCTTTGGGTAGCGAGGCCCGTGTTTGGATGCTTGTCCCTTATTACTTGTCCTTGGAGCCCTCAGCGGTCATTTCGTTTCTCGGAACCTCAGCCTCCAGCCTGTAAGTGAGGTCACTAAGGTTGCTGTGAGGGACAGGTGAAACCTTGTAACCCCCAGACGTGCTCCCTGCACCCCCATCTTCCTGTGAGCATGCCAGGGCCTTTCTAGACAGAAGCCGTTGTGCGATTTGATACCATCTAGTGGTGGTAGTGCCAGCTGTTTGCCAGGTTTAACGTGCGCTCCACATCCTGAGGAGGTAGGTGCTGTTATTCTCATTCACAGTAAGCTCAGCCTCAGAGAGGCTGTGTTAGTGGCCCAGGGCCACACAGCTGCTGACTGGCGGAGCGAGGCTTCCGACTCCTATGCGCCTTACTGTTATCTGTAAGAGTTTGCTATGGGCCAGCCGAGTGGCTCAGCTGGTTAAGAGCTCGCTCAAGAGTGTGAGCTCTCAGCAACATCAGTTTGATTCCCAGCTCAAGCTGAGCTGCCAACAGGTGGCAGGATGGCTCAGCTAAAAAAAACAAGCAAAAAAAAAATTAAGAGTTTGCTGCTGCTTTTTCCCATAGTGTTACTTCCTCCTTAATGAGAGATAGTATTCTGTTTCCAGAATATATAGCTGTCGCAGTTGATGCAGAAAATTCTTAGCGGGGCTTTTGGAATAAGGATGTTGACTAAGTTTCATTGTGCTGGCCAGTGGTAGTGACTGGCTAGAGAATACGCTGAGAAGGATTTAGGAGGCACGAAAAAGGACCAAGGCTGGAGCCATAGCGTCAGCTGTAGCGCGGGCCTGGAAGGTGGCTGGTTTCCATCATTGCTGTTCTAGAACCGTGTGGAGTAACCAGGCAACGGAGGAAGCGCGTGGCCCCTGGCCTGGGGAGGTGCGTGGTGGAGTGTCCTGCTTCATTGTGGCCAGGACGCACTGTATGCGATGATTGCATCTTAGGACACTTCCGTGTAATCCTGTTAGGCACATTTTATAGTGAAAACATGGGGGGATTTGAAATTAAAGAGACGTTTTCTTATGAGGCTAATCAATCTCTGTATATGTGATCTTTAGTTTTCCCCCCACGTATTTTGTCCAGATTTGTTAGGTGAGATTACAAATGGAGCAAATGAATGCGTCTTATAAAGCGTGTTACATATGGGCAAGTGTTGTTTCTAAAATGTCATGTGCCTCCCTGAATGTTACTAATATAAGTGATCTGTACAGAATTGCTTGGTGGAATGGTCCTCTTTATTACTTAAAATATGAAAATATTCTCCATTTGCTCATTTCTCAGAAAGCTACTTTTTAAGTATTTAATTTTCAGAAACCAAAAAGCCTTGTTAAATCATAATTTTGTCCATAACCAATACATAATCCAGAAAAAGTATTGAAACAATAACAGCAATATAAAAATATAAAATGTTTACTTAGTAGAAACTTACTATAGCCATTCCCAGCCATTCTTTGCGATGAAACACCAGAAAAAGGACCTAGAACAAGCGCGTGCCACAGGAAATTCCTTTATTAAGGAGTTAGGCCTGCAGCTCTGTCTT